TACCCAGACCCTTTTAGCTCCCCATGCAGGGTGATGAGCGTGAAAGGGACCGAGGCATCTGAATAAGAATTTGCAAGTATCATGGGCACAGTGGCAACTATTGTGGCCATCTTCTGTTCCCGTGTTGAGAATGAGTTGAAGTACCTTGTAATCATGTACCTTGTTTTTTTGGGCTCCAACAAGTTGCTAGCTAGGTCTGCATATGAATGGGAAATTGGCTTGAAAAGTCGACAGTGTTTTGCATGTGCACCGAACTTCACCAAAACTAGGAAATGGGATGAGGGCTGGGGCGAGGTAACACTTCATAGTGAGGTGGCCTTGGTGCCTCGGGAGATGCTCATAAGTTATTTGGCAGTGAAGGGAGCAGCGGCAATTGCTGCCAAGCAGCTGCTAAGGAAAGAGTAAGAAGGCCAATGTTGTTGCTTTTCACATTCCTCAGCACTGGCCTCTTGCCCAGAAAGCATCGGTGGGAAGGCGGTACCAAAGGGACACGAGGGACTGGGGGAAGTGTGTGACCGGCGGGGAGCGATGGGTTTGGTAGGGGCATCTCGAACAGCTTCACCCGTCAAATATGCCAAAAAGGGAACGAATCTGGAGAGGATCACTTTTTTTGTTTTTTATTTTTTTGCGTGCAGAAGGGTCTGGAAGCCGGAACCGCGCGGGTCCTTTGATCCGGAAGGCTCGCGAAATCGGAATGGTGCACGGCCCTTGCATCGCAGGGCTGGGACGGGATATTCGTGTTTGCGGCGGGGAGGCGGGGGTGAAGGTTCCAGTCCGTAGATGAGCACTATGTTCACGTGGGCGTGAGATTTCATTTGCATGTCGGCCCGATTGGGGACACAGATGCGTGTTCGTGTGGGTGGGAGCTTTCAGTTGCATGTCGACGTGATCGGGGATGCAGATGCGTGCAAGCGGAGAGTTGCTGTGGATGTGCACGTAGATGCCATATGTGCCGGCGTGTGCAAGCCGAGTAGTGCCACGTGTGCGTTCAACGCCCGATAGTCGCATGCAGTCGAATACAGTTCCTTTCGATCGGGGAACAACGAGAGAAGATGGGCATGAAAGTGGGGAAGGAGGGCATCACAACCATGAGGAAGATAGGTTAGCGGAACGACGAGGGAAGATTGGCATGTCGAAGGCAGGCTCGTGAAGGGCAATGATGGGACGGGAGCAACAACGGGGAGGAGGAGAACGATGGGAGGGAGGGAAGGAGGGCATGGCGACCATGAAGAAGACAGGTCTGCTGCCAAAAAAAAATAAAAATCGACAATCGGTCATGTGCATACAGATCACAATCATTCCCCATTGTTCTCTCTCTCTCTCACTCCCCCCCTCCCTCACTCCCCCCCTCCCCCCCTCCTCCTCCCTGCCTCCCTCTCTCCCTCCTCCCTTTCTTTCTTTTATTCCAAAAAAATGAGAATGAATCTTACCCTGCAAGATGGGAAGATACAACGCCATATTTTTTTGTCTTTTGTGCATGTTGGAATAGTGTACGTGAGTGCAAAATGAGAGAAGATGGGAAGATACACCACCATGTTTTTTTTTAATTTTCTGCATGTCGACGTAGTGGATCTCTCTCTCTTATCCATTCTGCTGGCTGTCGATCACGATGGATCGGGGAGCGACGAGAGAAGATGAGCATGAAAGAAGGGAAGACGGGCATGACAACCGTGAGGAAGACAGGTTCGGGGAACGGCGAGGAAAGTGCTGCGAAAAAATTAAAAATCAATGGTTACTGGTACTGATGTGCATGGTGACCACGATCCATCGGGGAATGTCGAGGGAAGATGGGCATGTCGAACACAGGTTGATGAGGGTGAATGATGGGCCGGGAGCAGTGACAGGGTGGGCATGACGACCGCTACGAAGACAGGGAGAAAAGCCAAACCGATGGGAGGCAATCATGATCGTCTCTCTCTCTCTCTCTCTCTCTCTCTCTCTCTCTCTCTCTCTCTCTCTCTCTGTGTGTGTGTGTGTGTGTGTGTGTGTGTTACATGCTGCGCCTGCACACGGGCCCCGTTTGAGGGGGCCGACGGTTGCTAAGAGGCCCCCAGGCCACGCGCCATCCAGCGCGCACCCTGGAGGCCCATGGCGGCCTCTTGGCCGTCGGCACCGGCAGTTGTCCATTTGGACGTCATTTCGGACTGCAGGTCCCAAGGCGACGCCTTGGGCCAGGTACACAAGGACGAGGCCTTTTTGAGGCCAGCCGCATTTTGGCGCCTCGCTGCATCAGCAGCGCGGTCTGGACACCCGGTAGGGGCCCAGACCAAGTAGGTCGTTTTCAGGCCAGTACCTGAGGACGCCCAGCAGGCCCAGAGCTACTTATAGCTGGGCTGAGGCTGGGCTGGGGACGGTTGGAGTAGCTCACTTCTCGAGTGACACGCTGCCGGATTCAGCGCTGCCCTCCCGAGCTGGAGGCTGAGCACCGGAAGGCAGAGAGGCAGAGGCCATACCTGTAGTGGCGAACTTATCAGTACGGCAGCAGTTACCTGCAGGTGAGGCAGCGAGGAGGACGTCCGTCTCGTCTCCCTCTCTCCTCCTTCCTCCTCTCCTTCTTCTTCTTCTTCATCATCAAATACGAGAGAGTGAGAGAGATGTTACAGGTAAAGGATACAGGCAGGGGTTACTACAGGCAGAAGGCCTAGGATCTGATCGGACATTCTTGAGGCAGACGTTGATTGGACATCGGCGAGGGACTACTCTCTCTCTCTCTCTCTCTCTCTCTCTCTCTCTCTCTCTCTCTCTCTCTCTCTCTCTCTCTCTCTCTCTCCGGTCTAAACGTCATTCCAGGAGCGTCGGTTCTGTGAACACCAAGATGTTAACAATCAGTGACGCATTTCACAGAATGGTAGCAAACACATATGACATACGCGATTTACCCACCGTAATGGAATTATATTGTACGGAACTATAGTGGAACACCACGTTCGACGATCCTGGCCTTTATCAGAAATTGTAAAGACGACACAATGCGTAAAATCTTTCTTGAATTTCTGGAAATGAAAGACAGAAAAAATTGGCAAAATCAAAGGTACTTAGCATAAGGGCAAAAATGAATTGGAATGTCCATCAAAAGATAAATCAACATGTCGACCTTCTGCCGAAGAAAATTCCTCAAAAAAAACAACAGGTCAGATTCCCGTGTAAGACAATAGGTTCGGCAACTGTGGCCTTTCTCAGAAATTGTCAAGACAACACAGTGCGTAAGGTCCTCTTCCAATTTAGAAAACGGAAGACAGAAAACATCAAAAAATGAAAGGGACTTGGCAAGATGAATCGAAATATAAAACCACTTTGAATTTCTGATGAAAAATAAAATCAACAAGGCGACGTTGTGCCGAACGAAAATTCCTAAATCACGCATATAAAATCATATGCGAACAACAGGGGATATAACCACCAAGCAGTCGCAAAAAGACATGGAAGTATTATGCGTGTCTTGGAACCGTATCGACTTAATACAAAATTGCAATCCTTTTTTATCTCATGATATTCCATCGAAGGATTTAAAACGACACATCACGCGAAAATTCTCAAACACACAAAAGCATATACATACGAAGTGTGAGACAATTAAAAAATCTGGAATTCTAAATTCTACATTCTAATTTCACGAACGCAACACGGACTCCAAGGACAGATGGACAAGTACAAGGGAATGAAGGGAACCGGAGATATTACCTGGACACAGACCTTTGTCGGAGGAGAGAATTTTCGACATATCGCGACCAAGAGAACATCGGGACGGTAGAAGTCATCAACGGTGATGAACATACGATGATATGAGGAGAACGAAGGGACTAGGGTTTCAGCCGGACAGAGAAGTATTTGGGCCGAAGGTGTATATATATACTGTTGATAATGGCTGGAAAGATTACCTGCGCATATAGGTAGAATCGTAGTCGCCTGTATTTGACGCATGCCATGGACAGGATGTGTATTCTGTGAAATTAAAGCCTCCCACGTGTTGTCCACTATTGCAATTCTCTCTCTCTCTCTCTCTCTCTCTCTCTCTCTCTCTCTCTCTCTCTCTCTCTCTCTCTCTCTCTCTCTCTCTCTCNTCTCTCTCTCTCTCTCTCTCTCTCTCTCACACACACACACACACACACACACACACACACACACACACACAAATTTATCCAAGCTGCCGCCTTCCTCCTTTGGCCCATCTTTTCACCCCCGAACAGATTGCCTGCCACTCCCCAAAAAAAAGAAATCCACAATCACCCCCGTACAGATTGCCTGCTGCCAAAAAAAAGAAAAAATCGACAATCAGTCATGTGCATGCCGATTGATAGGAGAACATGGCAATGTCAAACGGAGGTCGATGAAAGTGGAACGATGAATCAAGATGGGCATGAACGAAGGGAACTTCAAGGAGGGCATTATGACACTGAGAAAGACAGGTTCCTCTTCTCTCTCTCTCTCTCTCGCGCGCGCGCGCGTGCGCGCGCATGCCCACGAGCACGAACGATGAGGGAAGATAGGCATGTTGAATGCAGGTTTGGGGAGGACGAGAACTATGAAGGAAGGGAAGGAGGGCATAACGACGGTGAGGCTAACAACGTGGCATTAGACGAGGACAAGACAGGCGAGATTAGAGTAGGGAACAATGGGATGACGTGATGACTGACAGGGCCTCGAGCGTAGCTGCGGCGGGTCCACTTGTTCCTCAAAAGTTTGCTCTTCCTTTTTCTTTTTCCTTTGTTCCTTTTTGCAGTGGTGGAGTTGATCCTTGATTTGTTGTTCCTTCGTTCTGTTGCAGGTGGCTGCTCTTCTTTTTTTTTTTGTTTGTTTGTTTGTTTGTGTCCTGGATGGTTGGTCTAGTTGCTCCTGCATTTGTCCTTTCTTTCTTTGATTGCAGTTGGCTGGTAGAGTGAAAGCACTGCTCATCATTTTGCAAGTTTGCAGTTGTTTTTCACCACGAAAGTAAACTGGAATTGGCTGCTGCAGGGGAAACAATCCCCTGTTCCATATGCTTCTGCATACTGTTTGAGCAGACGACCAAAGTTGCTGACATTATAGTAACAGCACATTGTTTGCTTTGCTTGTCACAGCTGCCACCTAATGTGGAGTCGGAACTGGCAGAAGTTGATAAAGCCAATCTTACGCTCTCAATAGGAGGTGCAGGTGAAACACTAAACCCATTTTCAGACTTTGACGGCACCCGACAAGTCGCGTTGTCCCGGTTTATCAACGAAATGACCTTCCGTTACTGTTGGATGACATCCATCCATCCCACTGGTGAAGTTTCTGTAGAAAGGTATCTATGTGATAGTAGGGGACTAAGACCGAAGGGCCTGGCGGCACCTATGGTTGCCTCTTCAATCTCTCCATGTGGCATATGAAAAAAGCTTTTAGTTTGTGAATCCGTGTATCTCGGATTGTGTGCGGTGCTGGGTCTTCTTGTCCCTGTTTGCCTACAAAATGGCCTTTCGTTACTGTTGCATGACATGCATCCCACGGGTGAAATTTCTGAAGTTATCTATAAATCCACAGAACATTCATTTATTCAGGGTCGTCTGCACCTGGTGCTCGAAGGACAGGTGCGACAGTGTTTGCATGTAAAGCTTTGGCATAAATGAACTTTCAGGAAATAAAGATGCATGACCACAAAAAATGTTGCATCAATGAGATATATGTTGTCGAACCTTGAGGAAGGGTGTCTGTCCATATGTGTGGATTTGTCTGGGCAAGTGGCAGGCCCAATCCATAACTGTCGGGTACTCATTGCACATTTTGTTCAGGTGACACTAGTCATTTAACTGACTTTATTAAAGTTAACATGTTTTCATTTGATTTTGATTGTTGATGGTCAAATGTACTGAAAAGTGAAAAGGTGAACTGCACATGCACCTTCGTTCCTCATCTCTCACCGATGCTCAGTTATCATAAACCTGAAAACATAAGAGAAATGATGACCCACCCTTTATATGGTATTTTTCTGATATCTTTAGGTTTCTGTTAGCTTCTCTCTGGTGCCGCTTTTGTTAAAAGTAGCTGTTTTCATGAACAGAAAGCAAAAAGGTCCCTCCTTCCACATACTGGTGGAAGAAGAGTCGATGACTCTTGAGATAAATATTTGTGTAGTGTGATCTTGCTGCTGCTTGCCTGCTTGGTGGCTTGCTGTTTACAGTGCTGGAGAACATCATGGTGAACTGCATTCTAGGGGAACGAAGGCCTCACCACTTTCCTTTAGTATGACGAGGAGTCGGCTTCCTGTTTCCTGTACCCGTCCTGCAGTTGACCCTCTTGTATGTACGTATTGGGACCGGGCTGATGTAGCACAGCTGCCTGTAAACGAGGATGGCTTAGCATACTGACCCCTCTCACTTTCGCTTGCAGTATCAATACTCTCTCTCTCTCTCTCTCTCTCTCTCTCTCTCTCTCTCTCTCTCTCTCTCTCTCTCTCTCTCTCTGTCTCTCTGTACTCTCCCTCGCTGTGTGTGGGTGGATCAAACTGTGTGTGTGTGTATAGTTAACCTGCCTATAAACGAGGATGGCTTAGCATACTGACCCC